TTTTGAATACAAACCTAAAATTAAAGCAAATTTATAACCACAATGTCTATTAATTTTACTTAGTAGCCATAAAAGATATATACAATAGACACTCCCCTTCAGCTGGTTTTATGTATACCGCCAGTGATGTGACTGACATATACTTTCATAATTCTAGGATGGTGTAGCTTATAATGATATTGTAGTTGTCAGGTACTATTTTTAGCACATTTTACAATCAAAAGAACATAGAACATGCTGTACCCTAATTTGAATTTAATGACTTGTAAAGTTTACCAGAAACCTAAAAATGCAGAAAAACCATGCATTTTAAAACTGTTAAACTAGCCAAATGTTATATGTGGTCAAGGAGTTCTTTCCTGCTTTGTTTCTTAGACTTTGTTTTTCAGCTCATGGGAAGATTTCAGAGTAGGCCTTGACTATCATACACTGTGAGGTACATATATTTGTATTTGGGTAGAAACATAGTCTTTATACATTGTATTGATGTTTGTTTTGAAAGCATCTAGAAGTGCTATAACTGATACTTATTTTAGCATATCTTCCTAGTATAGATGAAAGATGTCCAAATACTTTGCAATTAGGAGAATAATGCCTATTGGTTAGTGTGGGAGATTACAAAATAATTGCTTTATGGTCTAAGTTGTTGTCTTTCTACCTTTTTCTTTTCTGTAGTGTCAAGGATGATTAGACAATAAAGATAGATCATTGGCATTCTAAAAGACTCCAGAGGTCTTTGAGATTCTCCAAATCTACAAATAATATTCCACCATCTAATGTCATCCATAAGATGTTACAAAGCATAATGGAAATGAAGTATCCAGTTCAGACCTTAATGATTAAATAAATATTAAATAAATGTATAAAACTATTCAAATAAATTTCAAGTATTCTGGAGTACTTCCAGAAACATTTTCATGAGTATCTTGTTTCTATAATAGAGCGTGTGGTCCCCTGGTTCGTAGATCTGAGCATTGCAGAATTCAGGGTTTTACTCTTATCCAAAGCTGGTTTTTGGCTAATAACAGTCACTGTTTTAGATTTCAGCCATTACAGTTGGCTTTCTTTTTGTAAATCAATTCATGAAGGTAAATCGGGGTGGGGAAGTGGAGAGATGAGGTGACAGTACTAGCTAAGCCCACTTACCAGCCAGGGGACTCCCACAGATCAGCCTTTTTGCCTGTTCATTCACATCTGTGCCTGGTCATACTTTAAATCACAGTGTGATGTCTGCGGTCTCTCTCCAGTAGTCTAAAACAAGGAATGCCAGATGCTCTTGCAAAAGTAACCAGGCAGCCCAGAGCGTAACTCCCTGCTAAAAGATGACCCTTGCGTTGCGTGCCTCTTATTATTGCAATCCTCAGGAGGCCCCCTAAACTTTATAATGCTCTTTGCTTAATTTGAACCTTATGTCAGTTTTTTTCTCTTTACCTAAAACTTTTTTTTTTTTTTGAGGTGAGGTCT